GGGTATCGCCAAGGTTTTTGGCAAAATTTGATGTAATATCGCTGCTCACGTTGTTCAGTCATTTTCCAGCTTAGTGAAATCCGACGAGAGCGCACTACATGACCTCACTCATACGCCGATTGCCAACGACTGACGCTTCCTGCAGGCGGGAAAAAATTCAGGGCTGTGCATGACTGTCCCCTCCACAACTCCACCGAAGGAGGCCTCTCTCGCATCATTGGTTTACGCGGAAAAAAATAAGGTCCGATACTTTTTGAACAGACCTTGTACTTTAAAATAGTTTGATTTGTTTATTTAACTTCGCTTGTAAACCTGGATTTTAAATGTATCCGCCATTTTTTCAACAAATTTCCCGTGAGTCAATGAGCGATGTTCACTGAGTCACGGGATGTTGTAAACATGCGGCGCAAGGTTAATCTAGACATGTAATAATGCAAGGCAAGGCATATAATAATTATTTATACCATTCCGTGGTATAAAAAATAAATTCATATCAATAATAAATTCCTATTACAAATAAAAATAATTTATTGTTAATTTAAAATTATCGCTAGGGCGCCTCTAGTGCCCGTATTTGGCAAACCGTTACGCGGACAGACGGTCACGCGTTAAATGGGTTATATAGATAGATAATAGGAATTGAGACAACTTATTACGCTGATTGATCTTACCTGATTATTTCAGTTTATTCGTAACGTCNGCATATAATAATTATTTATACCATTCCGTGGTATAAAAAATAAATTCATATCAATAATAAATTCCTATTACAAATAAAAATAATTTATTGTTAATTTAAAATTATCGCTAGGGTGCCTCTAATGCCCGTATTTGGCATACCATTACGCGGACAGACAGACATGCGTTAAATGGGTTATATAGATAGATGTGAGGTTTTTGCTATCATTTCTCTGGTGGTTTCTGAAAAAATTGCAGTGACAAATGTGGCATGTAAAGGATTTCTCATACATTTTTAAAGACAGACAAGTTTATACAAAGGATAAAACTTGAATGAGCTTGTATTTACAGTTTAAAATTGATAGATAACCTTCAGTGAATAATCTGCACTTGTTTTTGCATCAGGTTTAAAATAAGAGAGATATAATTTTTTGTTATAAAATGTAGGTTATTCACATAACTACTGTAATTATTATTTATATTGTCAGTAAAATTGATAACTTGAGCAAAGTTTAGCATACTAGTGAAATGCAGATGTATGATTGAGAAATTTGAAATTTTTTTTTTCAAGGATAAAAACTGTTGGTATCAGTTTGTTTACTTGTTGAATCCTTCTACATTTAAATAAAAATATATGTCTTGTGTAGTTAAGTTATTTAATAAAGTATTTTTATTGGTAGAAGTAAATGTGATTTGTTTTCATTTTTAAATTGTACTTTGTTTTTAAAATCCATTTTAATAATAATCAGTTTAAATAGGGAACTAAAAACTCATATAATAAAGGAAAAAGAATACTTTAAAATGTCTTTATGTAGATAAATTAGAATCATTATAAGCATACTTTTGTCTTTTTAGCTATGAATATAGGACAGTCGGCCATACCTTATGTCCCTTACAAAATTATTTGAATTCGGACAGAAAAATTCCTTTTGGAAATCAAAATGTATATATTGATGTTTCATCTGCTTCAAACGATTCAGTAACTTTTTCATTGTGTGTTAAAATTATCAAAAACTTTGTAATGAGGTAAGAATACTTTTATTTCCTCTTTATCCATCTAGAATATAAAACGGTTTAGTCCATAATAGTTTATCTAAATGATTTTAGTAACATTGTAGATATAGTGGAATTTAATGAAGATAAAATAACTAATATTTGATCTTTATATTATCATGTTTTTTTGTTGTTAATTGAAGTTTTTAGACTATTTACAAAAAATTTAAATTTTTCGAGTCTATCTTTTAAATCCCTTATACACCACCACAGAAGTAACAGTTTTAAAAAATTGCTTTTGAAGAAAACTTCTAATGAAGAAAACACTTCTAAAACAGGTAAAAATTGGTAGAAAAAGTCCACAAAGTGAAAAAAGATCAAGTGCCAGCCTTTTCTTTTACGTCCTGACACTTTTTACATTAAAACCATGATGAATTCTTCATACCATATTATTTTATCCACTTTTAAACTGCTTCTGGCCCTCTAGTGGTAGTTATGAGAAATCCACATTATTTGCATACAGTTACAATTTCAAACACAAAAAATGTTTTTGTTGTTTGAAATTTTTGAATATTTCAAACACGGTTTCAAAAAACAAATCAATTTTTGAATATGTTTAAATAATAATAATCAAAGTTCTCACTGTAATTAATTGGGCTATTATTATGCTATAATTAATAATTAGAAACTAAGTAATTTGGTACTCAAGGTAGACATTAGGTGCTATCTCTTATCTAAATTAATAATTATAATATTTTATTAAATAATTTAGAACATTCTGGAAGAAATAAACCAGCCCAGAGTGGGACTTGAACCCACAACCTCTGCTTATTGTATGGTGCACTTGCCAGTTACACCATCCAGACTTCAAGCAAGTCTTTGCTTCCAGACATATTTAAATTTAGATGTAACCATTCATGGTTACTTATGATGCCGGCTGGGGCAACTCCTATGCCTGCGGCCTATGTATTCCTTCACTGATTATGGTGAGAGTTTGGATTAGTATCAATACATCAGACTTTGGGATGTTGATGTATTTAAATAATAATTTTGATTTTATGTATAATGAATGATCAAAAAGTTCCCATTTGAGGGCTGTGAGGTCTAGTATGTTCATTCCATTTAGAAGAAATCACTGCTGGTGTTAAGGTGTCCCGTTGGCTTATTAACTAATTATAAATAAAACCATATGGTTAATGATACCTGTCTGATAGAAGTCGGTTGGCTGTTGCATAAAAAGTCTGATACAGTCTTTTTCATTTCATAGTCGACTGAACAGTCGTCCTTTTGGAGACATTTTTGTAGGGCTAAAGGCATGAAAATTGCACTGCAAGAAATCTGGAATTTACTGTGTGTGCTCTGGTCCTTCCATTTAAGGGTATTCTACTTCTGCTTGATATTGTTAACGTGAGTGTGTGTACGTCACAATCTTTACAGAGCTTTTCCACATTAATGGTTTTGGACAGGCAAGCATCCTCATAATCTTCACCATTCTATGATGATTTTTCATTAATTTACATTTTACTGCAGCTAAAAACAGGACAATGGCATATTGATCTGATTTGGACATATTTGGTAGCACCTATATCATTGATACATGTACTACATGTTTCATATGCAAGTCTAAGTGCAANGAAAATTTCTGAAATTTTTCGGGAAGGTTTGTTTATTAGGGAGATCGATGCCATTAAATTTTTGTAATTAAAGGTCGAAGGGGTGGGGAGATAATGGGGTCGTATGTAAAATGGCAAAATTAAGCTTTTTGCCATTTTATAATAGTTAAACATATAAAAAATTTTTAAAATAAAATATGATAATAGTTGGCACCACCAAAATTTTAAATGTTGCCGAGAAAGTTGAGCGACTCGTTGCTGGTTGATTCGTGATACGTAGGTAAACACGACCCGCTGTTAAATACTTTAATATTTTTCTCACCGCCGTCATCGTCCTTTATTTGTTTGCTTGTCTCAATACGCTCGTTTGAACTTTATCTTCGACTATATTTTAAACTAAACTCGCTTAGTTCCGTTTTATTTAACGTATAACGAGTTCCTCGATGGATAAACAATGAGGAACGCGCTAGTTTTTCTCTTCGGATCGGGCGAAAAAGCCGACGTTGCGTATGCGCCACGGTGCGGAATAAATTGACATTAATGCTCGTTCAGGTTCTAGACGTTTGTAGGAATTATCGTCGGTGACGTTGCCTACTTGGCAACACTAACTCGGCGGTCAGCTGAGACGATCGCAAGTGAAGGCGAGATGTTGTTTGAGTGTTTACTCGTCGTTTCCTTTCTAGGAAGCCGGTGTCGTTCGTCGAATGTGGTAGAAATCCGGGCCAATTTCTCTCAGGAGTACGACAATGCTGTCCGAAGCGATCGACAGATCACCTATTGGTATCGATACCAGTTCGGCCGCAATCAGGCAAGTACGCCCCCTCTCGGTACAATAACACTTCCGAATGAGTTATTGACCGTACCCGTTGGGGTACGATTGCGAATGTGATGTCGCCGTTGGGACCTTAACGAGCCGGAGCGCCGCTAAGATTATGGCGTTTAACCATATAGTCATGTGACTATGTCGGCTTCGAGTAGCCCACCCGACTGTTGGTGGTGTACTTTACGATATATAGTTTTAGGGGGTGCGGGGGTTCGATCCCACGTGGGCGCCGAGGTGCGAGCGATAGCTGGCTATGGTGTGCGCGACTACCTGCGGATCTTGGATTGAGGCGAGCGACGTGGAGCACGAAGAAAAGGCAGTAGTACCAGTCGAAGGTGTTTTTAGTTGGTACGGGTTAATGCATTTTTTATATATGTGATGGGCACCGATTGCCATACCCGTAACGACTTGCGGGCGAGCGTGACGGTGACCGGAACTGCCGGCATTAAGTTCCGTGTTCGGAGGCGATTATCCGACAAAGAATTGCGTGTCGGACGTTTCTTCAGTTTTTACTGACAAATATTGTTAGAATGTCAAATAGCCCTGTCGTGCAGTGTGTTGAACGTGCGACGGGGTTAAGAGAGCATGTAGCGTGGCTATATAGCGTCCAGAAGTAGGTTTTAGGTCAATTTGGGGATTATATCTGGTTGATGGTCACATTTAGAGGTACGGTTCCTTTGACTATTTTTGCTCCTACGGACATTCTCTACATCTCTGTTAAAGTCCCAATGGCGTCATTTACATCTGCAATCTTATTTTGTGTCTTACCCTTCCTCTCTCCTCTTTTGGTCGGCAAATGCAATTAACTGCACCTTTTGGTAAAAAAAATTTGTGGGTTGGACTGCTGGCATCGCCAGTTAGATGTTGAAACACTGTATCGCTACATCGGGGTACTGGTGTATGTTGAATAAATTTTTCTGTGCAAAAACTTTTGTGGGTGGTAAAATACTTTTATTTGAATTGTCCTGACCAAAATCTGGTATAATTTGGTTGCTGCTGGAATACGATGAATTGTTATCAATGTCTCACTGTTGGAAAAGAACTTTTCAAATGTCCTTTATCGATATCTTCCTTCTTTCTTTCACTCCTGATATTTGTTTTATTTATAAAAGAAGTGGGAAATAATGTGCATTTAAACTTCAAGTATGAACCGCAATGATTCGAGTGGAATGTCGATTTGAAATTTGCAGATAGAATTATAGTTTCAATAAGAAGTCGTTGCAATTATACAAAATGTTCTAGAAATGTTTGCAGAAGAATTTGGAACATTTGTAATGAAAGTTGATATGAGTTGTTGTTAAATGACTCTGTTCAATAGTTCAAAAATAAAATTATTAATGACCTTTAGCCATGTGGAGCATGAGTAGTTTTATTTTTGAAAATTAACTCTAAAGATGAACAAATAGAGATCTGAAAGTCTTGGTTGGAAAAATTAATTTATTAACTTTTTCGACTGAGTTAAGCAGCATCAGGATGTGAATTTATTATGATGAAATATAATAGTTCTTTCCCAGATAACTCCAATATTCTTGTAAAGTATAATATTTTAATACCATTTTCATAAGAAAACTGTCAATTGCATTCTTCCTGTTTCCCTTAAAACATCTGCTTTTGATTGCTGGAACCTCAAATCCAGTATATTTTCCAAAAATTCTTTATGAATAAATTCCTCCTTAATATGTGCATGTGGCAATTTCATTTTCCAGGATAAAATGTGTATTGTTCTTATGTGTGTAGTAGCTTTTATGTTCCTATTTGTCAGATATTGATATTCCTATTGTTTTTAAGTCTATAAAGCATCTAAGTTTCCAGACACCTTTGTAATGAACTCTGAAATTTTCACTAATAAATTTTTTCAGTTCATTTACTACTATATTAATTAAAACTAAGTTTCTCTTTTTTAAATTACTTTCAAATATATTAAACTCTCTTTATGTTCAACAAATAAATTGAACTTCATTATGTTCAAATCTACATTTATTCTGTTTCTAAATTGTTAATTCTGTTTCAATGTGTTTGTTTTTTGTTTCTAAATTTATTTATAAGAATTTTTTACCGTATGTAATTCTGACTTGATTTTTGATTGCTGTTGCACCCTGGCTTTAAAATACATTTTTTTTTTTTTCATTGAGGGTATTGACTGAACATGATGCAATTTTAAGGAAGTTATTCAGATTAATGGCCAGTCAAATTTTTGACTGTTCTTTTGAATCAGTGACTTAATACAGGTATACCTCGACTTACGTCGTTTCGAGTTACGTCGTTCCTGATTATATGTCGTTTGTCAAAAAAGTATATGGAAAAATAAAAATCAAGTTTAAGCCATTTTATTCATCTGTCCGCCATAAATATTGAAGTCGTAATATCACTATAAAAGCGTTTAATGCACATAAAATCATATTAAAATATATACATTTACAAGTATGTACTATATTTACAATACATGCATTTGTAAATTTAGATTACTTTTTTCTGTACTATATTAAAAACTAAAATTTATTTGTTTTAAGCTTAAAATAGATCCTTATTAACCATATATTATTAAAAATGCATTAATAAATAAAATACAGAACTGGGAATGATAATTTATGGTTTAG